GCGGCCCTGCCGCCGCAGCCGCCGCTGCCAGCAGAGCGCACCGGGCGGGCAGGGCGAGTGGCCATGGCGGGCACCGAGGACGGGCCCGGCCAGCAGCCGGAGCTCGACGAAGACGAAGCAGCGTATTGCCGGCGCTGGGGCGCGCAGCACGCCGGAGCCCGTGAGCTGGCCGCGCTCTACTCTCCAGGTAGGACCTCAGGGCCCCCCTTGGGGCCTGCAGTCACCAGCCCCGGCTGCGGACAGCGATCCCGCGTCCCCAGATCGGAACCCCAGCCTTAAGCTCCGATGCAGAACTCGAGCCTTGGCTTCTGTTTGCAAATAGTGCCCTAAGTCGGGGGACCCCATCCCACCGCCACTTCCAAGCCCGAGCTAGAACCCCAGCCCCGAGGCTTTCGGGATGCACAGACAATCCCCATATAAAGGAACTGCAATATCAGCTCCTCGAGCGACAGACAGAGCTCCCATCGCACCCACAGATCCGGATCCTAGCCACGGGCTCAGTCGCGACCACAAAGAGCGCCCCTGGATTTAGAGACCCCTCACCCTACCCCAGGACCCAGTGCAAGCCGGAACAGCCTCTCTCAGTTACATGCACTTCCCCAGCCCCTACAAGTCGCACTCTATCCCAGGTTCCCCAAATCCGAAATTCACATCCTAGGAAATTCACATCCTGTACCCGAGCCAGGACCCTGGCCTGAAAACTGTGACCTCACCCCCCACATCTGTTCACATCAGCCCCCCAGCCCTGCGAACCCCAACTCTAGGGCTACGAGCTACTTAGTTTCCCAGACGCCCTTCTCCCAAAGCCCCATCCTAGGTATAGTTTCAGTGGCTACAGTCCACCATCCTCTCCCTCCCCTCCTTTAAGCCCTACCCCATTCCAGGTAGTGAGGGTATTGCAAATCCTACAATTTAAGCTCCTCCCACGCACAGGCCCCAACTCCACCCCGTGCCCCTCCCCCATATGCATATATTAAATCCCTCTTTTAGGACTGGGATGTGGAACCCCCATATTCCCCAGACTAGACCACAGCTTAGAGATAATTGCACCAAGGTCCCTAGCTTCTTTTCGTGCCTACTATTTATGCTCCAGCAAGCACCAGCCCTCATCCCCTTCTCTGACTTCCTCATGATCCAGGAATCTCATTGCCTGGCCTGAAGAAGGCCAAGTGTCCCCAGGGGTTAAGGAAGTGCCTTTGAGAACTCCAGAGTCAGGTGACTGGGAGCTGCCAGGGGCCCATCTGCTAGACACAGCCATCACACAAAGCTTTGTCAAACATTCTGACATCTTTCCGTTTCCCAAGGGGGCAGCCACCATGCACAGACCTGGCCTGGGGTGGGCATGGGTCCACTACCAGCTTTGGCTTCCAGCCCTGACCAGCCTGGGATTGCATACCATCTCTGCCATAACTAGCTACGTGACCTTGGACCGTTTGCTTTCTCATTAAGTCCTAGATCACCAGACACCTTTGTGGACTTGCAAGTCCATGCTCCGGGTGTGATTTCTGACCTGACTTGGACACGTGGCCCATGCTGTCATGGTTTCTTCAGCCTTTTACTAAAACACTCAGCCTGTGAACTAACCCCTGTACTTCCTAGAGCAGGCTGGGCTTGGCATCCTGATTGCTGCCTAGTTGTGTGACCTGGGCCAAACCACTTTCTCTCTCATCAGCCTGTTTCCTCACCTCTAAAATGGGTACAAGTTAATTTGTCCCTTTTTGTCGTTAGGAAGAGGAAATGAGATTATCCACTTAGGCACAGACTGGCATACAGTATGTGCTCCCTATTGTTAACCCGATAGTCTGACCTTTCCTGTGAGTCTTGGAGTAAGCTGTCTCACCTCTCTGGTCTACAGGTGGTGACCTGGGAATCAAGGGTAAGGATTCAAGGGCCACCTCCTTTGGTGTCCAGCTCTGCTCAGTCGAGTAAACTCTACCCGCTTTCAACCAAATCATACCCGCGCATTCTATGAGCCTTCCCAGGGACCACCATCTTCCCATTCCACTATGATGGCATCTTTGTCCGGTTATGGTTTCTCCAACTGCCCCTCACTCTTTGAAGAATAGCCATTGCAGGAATCCAGGGTTGCAGTCAAGGCCAAGGCTCCAGTCAAGGCTATATCTCCTACTGACCTGGAGTTTAGGGGTCAGGGTAAGGAGGGAAACTGGCCAGACTGGTTTCTTCAAATTTCATAAGTCTCCGTCTGCCTTCCTCTCCCTTCCTCTCTCTGTCCCTTCCCTGTGTGGCCTTGAGGAAGTACCTTTGACCTCTTTGGGCCTGACCTATAAAATAAGTGACTAGGCTCAATACATATTGAGCACCTTTGTTCCAGTCTTTGTTCAAGACCCTGGGGGCAAAGCAATGAACAGAACAGGAAAAATGGGACTGGCATTTTAGTAAGTCCGATAATAGAAGGAAAATACGTCACTTGCCCAATGATGGCAAGCCCAATAGAACAAATATAAAGCAGAAGGGGGAAATTAAGTGTTGGGGGCAGTGACATTTTAGAGAAAGGGGCATTAACATGTCATTGAGCTGGTGACATTTGAACAGAGACCTGAAAGGAGGGAGGCATGAAGACATTGGAAAAAAGATTGGTCTACCCAGGGACACAGCAAGGGCAAAGGCCCTGAGGTGGTGGGAGTGTGCCTGAAGTGTCTGCCGAACTGGAAGGCTTGTGGGCTGGAGCAGAGTAAGTGAAGGGAGAGTAGGAGACATTCTGGGTTCCAGGACTGGATGCTTGAGAATCCAGGGGCCAGAGGTGAGTTGGCACCATGACAATTGGCAGCAATAATAAGGCAGTTAACATTTATTGAGCCCTGACTACGTGCTGGGCATCTTCCTTGCATGCTCCCATGCCATCCTCATGACGGCTGTCTGAGGTGCACCTTGGCATTGACCCCATTTACAGGAAAGGAAACCGAGACACTCATTAGCCCACCTTGCACACGTTCTTCCTCACACTTGTCCTGTCTGGATCCTGCTTGCATCTGCCCCAGAGGGTAGTTGGCAAGGCTAAGGGCAGTATCTGTTTGGTTTTCCTGAAGTGTCTGGCACTTCACAGGCACGTTTCCTGAGGCTTGGCAAAGAGTAGTGACCTGCCCACGGTCACATGGCTAGTTAGCAGCAGGGCAAGAACCAGAACACTGGTGGGGGGCATTCTATGTTCCGTGTTCTTGGTGTTTGCTGTGGGAGCGAGCCAGTCCAGGGCGGACAAGCGGGAGGGAATGGGACCAATGTTCCAGATCAGCAGAGCAGAGAGAGTGGGCCTGGTGTCTGCGGGGAGCTGTGAGTCGTCTGATCAGAGCTGTATGGGGTGGAGGGAACAGCAAAGGGTGAGGCAGCCTCGGCCCGGGTGTCTGGCCAAGGAGGTAGGGCCTGGTCCTGCGGGTCCTGGGAGCCAGAGTCCACTCCACTCTGGGTTTGGGTTTTACAGCAGCAGCCATCCTGTGCCAGGTGCCAGGGTTAGTGAAGGGCCTGGCAGGTGTGGCAGGCCTCCCCTGGTCTCATGAGCAAGCTGGCAGGTGAGGCAGGTGCCAGCTGAAGTTTGCCTAAGTGCGTCCCACTTCTCAGGTGCCCTGGGCTTCAGGGTGGATCCTGAGGGGTCTCTAGAGTCAGCTGTTCATCCCATCCCTCCATCCGACCCCCTACCCCCTCCCCAACTACAGATGCCTCCCTGCCCTGGGGGACATAGGGGCTCTTAGTATGGGGTCAGAGGAAGGGAAGGTAGAGGGTGTCAGGAGCGCTTTTCTGGGGGTCCTGGCCTGTAGTCGCAGAGCTGAACCTGGTTCATTCCCCCAACATGGGCCAGACTGAAGCCATAGGACAGAGGTTTGGCACCTCTTCCCTGGCCAGGCTTTCTCCCTGCCTCGCTCAGTCTTATTCTTTTTCCATTCCTTTGTCTCTCCTCTCTGGCCATGCTGTTTCTTTTTCTTTTTGTCTCCCTATAATCTCTGTTTTTCTCTTCTTCTGTCTCTCTGTTTCTCATCTCTCTGTGCCTCTTGATTCCTGTTCACTCCCATCTCTGTCTCCCTGTCTTTCTACCTCCGACTCTCTCTGGCCCCTCCCTTCTCCCTGCCTCCTGTCCTCACTTTCCTGAAGCCCAGGGTCTCCTAGTGGCTAGAGGCCATCAGAAATACAGGTGGCTCAGGGCTTGTCTGACTGAACTAGAAGAGTCAGGCCTGATACCAAGGCCTGGTGCCCAACCTCCCTGCACCTCCCAGCCCTCCACAACTACCACACACAAGCCCGGCCCCCTCCCCAGGCCAACAGGCAGTCACTGCTGTAACTCAGCCCAGATCATGGACCCTGGCCAGGCCAAGCGTGGCTCAAGGAAACAAGGCCCCAGCACTATGCCAGAGGCAGCCCGAGCTCTTGTGTACTGAGCAAAGCCCTTCCCCACCCTGAGCTTCAGTCTGTCCATCTGTAAAGTGACACAGTTCAGACCACCTGACCATGCATGCCTTGCCGGGCCGACTGTCCAGGCTGTGACTTTGGTAACCCTTAAGTGACTTTGGACAAATCGTTTCATCTGTCCAGGCCTAGTTTCTCCCTCTGAAGGATAAGACAAAGGTTCTCAGCCCATGATGATGGTGAGGACTGGCCGAGGTCATCCCCAACATGTAAGAGGTACTCAATGAAAGCCACTTATTATTGTCAATGTATTTTTTATAGAACAAAGTTGAGGCATTTGGCCTGCAGAAGAATCACATTCCAGAGGCCAAAGAGAGTTTAGATGGGAAAATATTCAGATTTCAGGGGTATTTCCCATAGCATGGGGAAAGAGCTGGGCAATCTTCGGAATCAGCTCAGCCCCAAACATTCAGGCTAATATGTCCCATTTGCGAGCCCAGGATCCAAACCAAACTCTTTATTTTCACCCACTGAGCCTTGGTTTCCTCATCTGGGAAATGGGATCATACAATTCTTCCCTGGAGGAACTAAGATTTGAATGAGAGGCTACGCCTCGGGCTCAAACACTCCAATAACTGCAGGGGCCAGCCAGGACTTCCTCCAAGGGAAGCCACCCAATATGAGGCCACTGGGAAGAGAGGGGACCTGAGTGAACTGGGAGCTCTTGCCCGCTTCTGCTGGGGGCAGCCACTGCTGCTCAAGCCTGGTTGGTCAGAGTCCTGAGTTCTCAAGGAAAGCGAGAAATAAGAATCTCACGTGATTTTTTTTTTTAAGTGTAGCTAATTTTTTTTTTAAACTGAGAGCAAAATATGCTGCAGGGAGTGGGTCTATGGCATCTCTGATGTGGGCTAAACCTGGCACCCCAGCTGTGATCGGCCTTAGTGGGTGTCAGCCATTGTTACTGTTATTTGATTTTGTTGCTCTCCCTGTAGGCAGAGACACGCAAGTGGGTTGGCATTGAGAAATAACCTTACTCCCAGCTGCACCCCCTCCCCAGGCTTCTTGCTTCTGAGATGTAGGCCCTGGCCGCAAAGAGGAACCAGAACGGGGAAGGCCCTGCTGGGCCAGATTGTAGTGATCCTGACTGGGGGTTGCTGGGGTGGTAGGGCCATGTGGCCCAAGGGAAACAGCCCCTGACCAAGAAGCAGGACATGAGGGGTTCTGGGCCCTCTGCTACCGTATGATCCCTATTGGGGTCCATGCCCTTTCTGGGACTCAGTGTCCTCATCTGTACAAGAGGGGGCCACGGGGATGTGACTCTGGGCATGATCCTTCGCCACTCTGAGCTGTGGTCTTTGCACAGGGCTACCGGAGGGCAGCCGTGCTCTGGCTCAGGGCGCACTGGAGAAGCCCCTCCTCTCTCTCTCAGCCTGTTCTCTGTCAGGAACAATGGGATGCCTACTGTTTCCTTCCCAAGGTGCTTTGCAGAAGGATGCCCAGACACCAGGCCCGGCGCTTTTTCCTTTAGGATCATAGTTGAGAATTTGTTTATTCCACAAGCATTCATTGAGCACCAGCTGTGTGCCAGGGCCCTGGTGAGCAAACCAGACACAGTCTCCCGAGTTCACATTTGAGTAAAGAAAGATGGACATTACATGGGCAGTGACAGTTCTACATGATGGACTCCATGTTGGGGGAGTGCAGGGGTCAGAGGAGGAATCATGGATAGCTTCCTAGAGGCAGAGGTTCCAGGTCGAGATCAGTAAGAGCAGTGCCAAAGTCATCCCAGTGCAGAGGGTATAAAGAGAACAGCACATACAAAGCTCTAAAGAGAGGAGAGAACAGATGTACAAGGAACCTTCTTTATGTGCCCTGGCCCCTTCTGTTCTTTATCACTCACAGGGGCCTGCGTGGCCCTGTTTTTAAGGTAGCCTGATCCAGAATGTCATCAGGGCCATAAGAGTGATGAGGAGTGGAGGCAAAGAACAAGGACAGCAGGACAGGGTCGGGTAAGAGCAGGGTCTCAGGAACCAGACCCTCTGGACATAGGTTCCTAGTCTGTGGCTGACTAGCTGGGTGGCCTTGGGCTACTCCCTTGAGATCACCCCGAATCTCAGATTTCTCATCTGCAAAATGGCATCACCTCAGCAGATACCTGGCACCTAGTAACTGCTCAGTAGATGTTAAACACTAATGATAAGAAAATTATTATCATTAAGGGTCTTCCATGCCCTTAGGACCAGCTGCCTGGGAAAACAGTATTCCCCAGGGGCCCTGTCTCATGTTCTGTATCACCTGGTGTTTTTATTTCCTTTTACTTTTTTAAATTTTAATTTAAAACCATGTGAAAATATTTTTGATAGAGTGAGTACATTCACAAATTTTAAATTAAAAAGGG